GTTTAGGTCGGGGGATATTTCGGTCAAGTTTCTCCCGACAACGGAGCAAGACGCGGACCTCCTCACCAAGGCCCTTAGCAGGGCCAGTCTGCAGTATCACCGGCGCAAGCTGATGAATTTGCCGGAGTAGCTTTAGCAGTTTCTAGCACTTGGGAGAGGCCATGCTTTCCATGCGGGGAAAGGCGCATAACTGTTGCGGTCTGTGTACCAATGGCAGGAGGAGGAGGCGTTGGGAGACCATCGTCCGGGGGAACGTAGTTCCTCGCGTTCTTGTCTTCGCCTTGGCCTTTCTATTAAGTGCGGCCGTTGTGATCCGCTGTGATAGCGACGGTTTCTTGCGGTGGTAGGGTTTTTCTTGAGGGGTTTTGCCCGAACGCCGGGTTTCCCCTCCATATATTACCATGTTGGTCTGATGTATCCAGGGGCGTTCTTGCCCAATTGATGGTTAGTCACTTGCGTGGAGAACCAGGGAGGGTGTTCGTGGGTCTGCGAACATTGGTGTTGGATACATGTGCTGGGTGATTTTGTGTCACGCAGACTGGTAAGATTACCGTTTTGGTAGGGGGCACCGCGATGATTCACGGGGCCCCACCTTGCTGTGGGAGCCGCTCTTTGAGCACTCCCTCTTTCGTCCGTGTGAAGGACGGTCGTCGACCTACCGTGAAGTTAATACATCACCAAAACAGCCTCACCCGATAAATGAGTGGCGTAGGCCGCAAACAGCCTCTTCGACTTCTTCGAGCCTGGGGATGACGTCGGATCGACGGCATGACGGGGCTCCAGGCATGATATGGGGTGTGTGGGATGTGCATTTTTCGTGGTGAGACGTGTACTAATAACTACACGTCTTCAGCGTTTGTAGCTAGAGTACTACACTTAAAGTATTTTCAATGTATTTTTTCGTACAACTACATCCATCCAGGGTCACACAGGAGGGGGTAAACACCAGGGCTTTTTTCTTCTTTTTATTTCTTTTCATGCCCCACGTTCCTCCTGCGGTGCGTGCTGAATTTTATTTTTATCGCGAGAAGGGTCCAGCCGTCCCTTTCCCTCGTCAACCGTGCTAACGTCGACGTTTGGTACTCACGGGAGCTTGTCAGCTATATTTCGCTTTCACGCGCACATTTCGTAAATTTTTCACCCCATGGGGATTCGAACTCACGATCTCTGGGACTAGCGGATTACGAGGATACCACTAGACCACCGGGGCGACCGGTCGGAGTATCACCTTGTCATTGCTTTGGGTGCCGCAGTAACGTACTGGTGCATGTAGTTGCTCCGAGTCGGTACAGGGCTGTCGTGCTACCCGAATGTATATCATCGCATGTTCGACATGTAGACGAAACGTGCTGCGCAATTGCTGTCGAGCTGTCCTCCTGGCTGAGCTCACAATGTCTGTTAGCAGACTTGTCAAGCACGCTTCTTGGTTCTGGTCACGACGTCATCCGTACCTTCCTTGTAAGGGCTGGCTCAGTGGTTCACTGTCTCGTTACGAACTCTGGAAAAATTCAATTTGAATCGCCCCACTCCCTCCGACCGCAGATGTTGGCGCACAAGGGAGGGCCATGACTGCAACGCGGGGCCTTGGTAGTTGTCAACGTGTGCGATCTTGCAGGGGCTGGTGAAAGGTGAACTACGCGGGGTGCAGCAAGCACGTTCTGGACGTTACTTTGGGGCACTGGGTAGTCGGCCGTGTTAGGCCGAGAGAGAGAGGTTGAGAGAGAGTTGGAGAGAGAGTGAGAGAAGGAAACTTGATTGGAGAGAGACGGTGGTGGTGGTGGAGAGAGACGGTGGTGGTGGTGGAGAGAGAGGGAAGAAGTGCGCAGCACGCACGCAAGCCTCATCATCGCACCGACCACGCCCAAAGAGTCCCCGTGACTGCGCCGGTGGTACCCTTCAACATACGAAATTACCAACACGTATCCCCCTCGGATCCTCACGACCAGATACTGCTGCGAGTATATCTAACATACCCCCTGCTCGCAACAGGTTCTCACTGAAAACTTCGCTAAAACCCGATATCTCAACCAAAAGAGGTCTTTTCAATAATATATGCCATGAAGACTTGACCAGAATAATATAAGAGAGAAAAACAATTCAAAGAAACCTTAATGCTGCATCGCGCGTAACAAATACTTGGCGCGGGAAATGAGACAAAACGGGAAACAAAACAAGACCAAAACACAACCCATCAGAAAACAATTAAATGTTCATGCCAAATTCATTATAAAATCACGGTGAGACTCGAAAGCATCCTTCGACAAACTCTCCGTACGAAAGTCTATACGCTGGTACGGCGACGGCACGTGGATGACCGAAATTTCCTTCCTCTCTACCAGTTCCCTGAG